GTTTGAAAATACAAAGCAATCTCTCTAATTTTCTTTAAGCACTCCAGTGCACAATAAATCATTGTTAGGCATAGCAATGGATTTCGCGATACATTTAAAATGTGGCAAAATATGTTGGTTACACAGTTAATTCTTTTTAACAATTTAAAAAAAAAAAAAATCAATAAATAAGACGAGAAGACTATATTCGCTTTTGATACCTTTTACTTGCATCCTTTAGTTAAGTATACACGTAATGTAAAATCTACACATAAGCGTAAGGCTATCGTTTTGTAGGACAGTTTCTGAGCAGTGGCCGATTCAAAAGTGGGTTGGCAAACAGGGAAAGGGAAGGCTGGCCGACCCTGAATCTTACTTAGGCGAGTCGAAAATTTCTATATAGACAAGCATACTGAGGGTGAGGGAAGTTTCCATGTAGAAGAAGAAAAAGAAAATGTGAGCAGGTTTTAATCAAGCAGATGCACACTTAACAGATTTATTGATACGTATTTCTAGATTTCCCAAATGAACGAACAACACAAGTGAGACAATTATATTCTGTCTATTTTGAAATCACGCTTAGGGAAGTTGCATTAAACTTCAAAGCATTCCATTCACAATTCCTATATTGACGACACATTCATCCTATGCTTTCATTCCCATTCCTGAATACGACATGATAAGGATGTTGAGGAGGAGTGCCAAAGACGAATAATTTTTGCAGTGAATGTGTTGTCAGTAGAATTGCTAACGGGGGCTTATATGCCGAACGCACATCTTCCCTAAGCGCGGTTCTAAAACTCTTATTACAGCAAACACTACAAAAACGTTCACTAATTTCTGTTACAAGTGTACTAGACTTGCTGTAGTACTAATTTTAAATGCCAGAGAAACGGAAATGGAATGAGAAGCGTTACGGCCCAAACAACGTAACGTTCAAGAAGAATTCCCGAAAAAAAATTCAAGCGAATTACCAAACTTAGGTGTGGAAAATGATCTGGTTTTCAAACGTGCTGTGATATCAATAAAGACATGGAACACATGGAAGCATGTGAATGGAAAAAACCGACTCTTTTATACCCATCATCCTTATCCCAAAAAGAAAGCAAAAGAACTAAATTTTCATAACCTATAATATTAGGCTGACCTTTTCTATTTTCAGAAAGCTAAGGTGTTCACAGTTCTAGCTACGTAGCCCTTTGTAGGCGTGACCTATGAAAATTCATTTGAAAGTTTGTTGACGATATCTTCGTTCTTGCGAACAGGAAACTGTTTACCACATATATTACACAGTTGCGTAAAAGAACAGATAGACATATGAACGGACGGACATGCTCACGTGCATTCTGAAACTGACCACTTTATGGGGTCATTGAGGCGTTAAAAAGGTTTTGAAAAAAGAAATTACATTATGATACACTACAAAATCGAGTAGGCGACCCTGCTTTTTTCCATCTTTTATAGAGGACCATTTTTTATAGAGGAGAGGAGAGGAGGATAGGTGTAGTTTATGAACAATGATTAAAAACCAACTTTTTTTCTTCCTCTTGAAAAACAGAGGTGTTCTCACTCTATGTAATACTATAGGGGTGCCCCTCGACCAATTTGGCTCGTCTTCAATACTTATCTGCAAGCAAGAACCTCCAAAGTTTCTTCTAAATATAAGTCAATAGCTTCATCTTTGCGGTTAGGAGAATGTTCACAACAAATATTACACTGATGGACAGGCGGACATATTTAAATCGATTCACAATTTGATGCAGATCAAGAATATATTTCGTGAAGACTCTGAAGGTTCGTTCCTACGTGAATTTCTAAGTGCTCCTCATCTAATTTTGATATCATTTTTTCTATTAGGTTGGATGTTTTTTAGTAATTAAATATTGAAAAGAAGTTTTAGTTGCCCACTTAATTTTTTGAAACTTTAATATACTTTCGTAAAAGCAGCTAAAACCATATTTTGGGCTTTTAAACGGCAAGAACCACTGTAGCAATCTAGAAAAGAGGAGTTATTTAGTAATTTTCTTGGCATTCAACGAAAGGTAACAGAACAATAATATTTGAGAACACCTCTTGTCATATTTGGAAAAATATTAAAAAATGGCAACACCGGAACGATTATTCTTTTAAGTAAATTTGTCAGTTAAAGTAACTCTGCGAAACGGGTTAATTTTAGAGCAAATTTGGTTTAAAAAAAAAAAAGAAAAAATCATTTATTCTTCACGGCTTCAGCTAGTGCAATAGAACTTCTTGAAAATATTGATTCCCGTGCGATTTGAATGAATTCTATTAGCAAAACCAAAATAGATTTATCGAAAAAGGCCTACGTACTCCCCTAGAGAACGTTATTTTAAAGGTACCGAAGGAAATTCCTCTGGAGGGAATGGAAATGGAATGGAATGCCCGGGGCAGTTTTGATATATCGTATTTCGAGATGGAGCCGTTTAAAATTTTAAAATGTATTATGGACGCGTAGTCTGCGGTCCTACGATAATAAAAAATCCCTTATATTCTAAAGTAGACTTCTTTTTTCAATGATTTCCAAAGTAATATTTGAAGCGACTAAAAAATATTGAATTCGATAGTCGAATTCATAATCAACACCAAAAAATTACGTCTCCCCAACTACCCACTTTTTTGACAGTAGCACTGAGAGCTTTCGAATAACTCTGAACCCCATATCTTTTTCAAAAATTTAATCTTTCCATTGAAATTCTTGCCAATGACGCAGAAATCGTTAGTTCTCAGATCCTCTATGTACTGTACTCGTTGTAGACAAGTAGATTAAATGTTTTCTTTATACCCATCACCGAAGCATGAAAAGGAAGCTTCAAAGATCCCATAAGTTACACGTAGGCCTAATCAGCGTCATATTCTAAACCAATTTAACCACGTCCCTCTGCTTGCCTGATTGTGTTACGTCCGTAGCAAACATTCCAATGATCATAAAAATGATTTTATCGATTTCGAACTTGGCAGAAACATTGAAAGTCCTTACACGGAGGTTGATATTGAAAATGGGTCACATATTGGTCATGGCAAAAGCATCAACTGGACGCATCTTGTTGTCTCTAAGCAAAAATTTGTGGTTTTTTACTCGTGACTCATCAACTATGAAAGATAGAAGGCTGACTTTGCATATTTGCTTGTCGCGAGAACGACGACTTGATATCTTTCCATAAACAAGTTTTCTTCAATCTTCTAATAATAATGTAATACTCAATCCCCGAAAATACTTTCTTTTTTTTCTGCAAGTTGCTAGAGTATTAGTCTTTGAACCATCTTTTGCGACAGGAAGAACGTAAGAAACAGAAGGACATAGTAAGGCTGAGTGAAATTCTTATATTAAATACATATAAAACATTTTAATTTCTTTAAGGTAAACATGGCCGAAGACCATCTATTCCGTCTCTCATCTGATCGCATCATTTGATTGAATAGCAATTATAAGTGTCATAATAAGATTTCCATTGGAGGTTATTTAGAAGGTAGAAATATCTTTACAAAATCCCAGTTCGCCTTTGCATTCGAAATAGTACATAAGCAGAGAGATATGTTAATCTCAACTTTGATAGTTATGTTATTAATTTGTATTTTTGATTTGCCTTAAATAGATTAAGAAAATTAGTACATTTCTAAACCTCAAATGGTGAGTATGAAACAGTTCTAAAGCAAAAAAAAAATGCTTATTTTTCACGAATACGATTCCCCATCAAGATAAAAAATTGATAATTAAAAAATTAAAATAAAGATAAGAAAAAAATAAATTGTTTTTTTTTTTTTTTTTCATCGTCTAATGTACGTAAGGTTAGTAGTGACAATAATAACAACAACAAACATTAAATTACGAATTTCGACTAACACCACGATAATATATGCCAATGGATGTAAATGTAGAAAAAAAAAAAAAAAACAAATATATATCCATTAGAAAACTAATAAATATAGTAACAAAAATAATAAGAGACACACAGGAAAAATTTTCAATAAAGAAAGTGAACGGAAGAGAATTAAACAACAAAAAAAAAGAAGAACTATAAGAAATATTATTAAATAAACTATAGATTATTATAAAGCTAAAAAAATAGTTTTCCTTTTTGATTTTCTATATATATATATGTATATATATGTATATATGTTTAAAAGTGGGTTTACATATTATTAAAATATATTAAAAAAAAAAATATAATAATAATGAAACACATGTTTTGCAATTAAAAGAAAATTGTTTAACTGAATAGCTTCAAATGCCCCGATAAACACACATTTAAGATTAATAATAAAAACATTTTCATTGAAACCCTTTAGAAGACGAAAAAAAGCCAACACCAGACGTTAATCAAACATTTTATCGATATGTATTTATAATTTAAAAAAAATTATTTTATTAATTTATAAAATTTTTAAAAAAAAAAGTTAAAAAACAAAAAAAGAATAAATAATAATATATGTATAATTTTAAAGGTTGGCAAGCTTTGATTCTCTTAAAGCTCTTCGAAATAATATTTGATTAACGTTCAAGCCTCTCTTTTCGGAAAATTGAGACATCATTCATTTTCCGCAACTTTTCTACCGCTTAGTAAATCGATTATTAAAATTTTAAATTGAAAAAAATTTGTAATTAATTAAGTCTCAATTAAGAAAGATTTTGTTTTTTTTAATTTGTTTTTTTGTTTTTTTTTGTTTTTTTGACTTACGATCTAAATTCTTTTCTTTAAGAAAAGAATTGTTTTTTTTTCTTTAATTTTTTTTTTCAAATTACTTTCACTTAATATTAAATTATATATAGTTGCCAATATAAAGTTAACCCATTATTGTTATATAAATGTGTATATATATATGTAAAAAAAAGAGTAAAAATTATAAAATATGATAAGAAAAATATATGTGTAAAAATGCTAATAAAAGTTCTTTTTTTTTTTTTTTTTTTTTAAATTATTTTGAAATAAAACCCCCCCCCATAAAAAACTCTAATTTTTTTTAATTTTTTTTTTTTTTTTTTTTTTTTTTTAAGGAAGCACTAATAGCTTTGAATAAAGCTTAGCTGGCAAAATTGGGGAATGTCATATCTATAAATAAAACGGAATTTTCAAGGCTACTCTTAGCCAATTAGGCGTTCAATAGAACAGCCTATGACGGATGAAATTCTTTCACTCGTAACAATCGTACAACATATCTGACACGTTCGACATTATTAAACTCCCGGATTATAGAACGAATATATGTTACCTGGTGGCCTTGTTAATGCTCTTTTGGCTGCTCCGGCTGCTGCCGTAGCTTCTTGTTGAAAAGCACTTTCGTAACTGCGCTTCATTGAATGTGGTATGCTGGCTACGCTAGCTGCAGCATTTGCCGCTGCCATCTGCATACCGCTGGGTGCAACAGCCGGTGGCGGCATAAGTCCGCTAAACTGATAGCCCTGCTGAGCTGTGGTCATATAACCTAATTGAAAGGGCTGAAAATAAGGACGCGGCATAAAGACAAATTGTGGATGTCCGGCATGCGTCGCACTGGCTGCCGTACTCAAACTTCCTGCTGGGGAAGCTGGATGTTGCATAAATAAGGGACTCACGTTAGTATAGAGAGAATGCTGTTCAACTGCAGATGCCGCAGCAGCGGCTTGTTGGCGTGCCAATAAATTATGTTGAGCTATAAATTGAGCTTGCTGTTGGGCTATTAAAGCAGAATTGGCGGCAGCAGTGGCCGCCGAAGGTGGAGGAGGTAAAGACAAATTAAAAGGAAATGTCATGGCGGCTTGAGGGCTAACAGCCGAAGCTGTTCCCGCCGGTAATTGCAACTGGGTAGGGGGACTAGCCAGAGCAGCAGTTTGGGCCGCTGCGGCGGCCGCTACTGCACTATGGGCCAAGGAAGGATGTGCTACGGTAGTGGGGGGCCCGGCAGCTGTTAAAAACGGGGAGATGCTACCGGGAGTGGCGGCTACGGCCGCAGCAGCTCCCGCAGGCATAGCTACGTGTGGAGGATGTGAAAGCGCGGCTACTGCCGCCGCTACCGAGGGCGGTGATTGCAAAGTATGAGCATGAGCATGAGCATGGGCATGAGCATGAGCATGAGCGTGAGTGTGATGGGCATGCGTATGAGTACTTATAGCTTGTGCGTTGGGCGGCTGCTGTTGTGTTAACATACCCGGTGACAATAGAGAAGGCTGCTTACCAGCCGACAAATGAGGATGCGTTTGGACTGCTGGTACCGGTGACGGTAAACCACCGTTTAAAACGGCATTCATGTCGTCACCTGAGCATTGAAACACTTCTATGTAGCGGTATTTTTTACCAAATACCATAAACTGATGGTGTTTACGTTGCGCACATAATCGAGCAGACTCTTCCGAATCCATTTGTATAAAAGCCTCACCACTAGGCTGACCCTTAAATATAAGCAAACAAAAGTGCAGAGTAGTAGAAACTAGCATAATAAATTATATAAATAAGCACATCTTACCTGAGCATTAATCACCATATGAACGCCTTGATAAATGATATGTTTGGCAAAATCATCGAGAAAGTGTAGAATATGTTCAACTAAAGCCTCATAAGGTAGCCCCCGCAAGCGTATGCAGTTCTTCGTAGTGCCGGATGTAATCAGATGCTGAAAATATATAAAGAAATTTATTGAAAACTATGAAAAATTTAAAATTGTCGGGTGTATTATGATTCACAACACAGCATTCGAGACAATAGTATTAGCCATTAGTTAAAACATGGCAGGACGTTAAGTTAGGCAGCTGTCACTATTATGCCACTATAAGTGATGGTGTGAATCATACTAGACCCTTATGTTTTACCTGAGGCAATAACGAAAGTTGCATGGGCGGTAGCTGAGCTATTAAGGGTGGCTGATGAGTAATAGCTTCATATGTTTTTGGATCTAAGGATCGATTTAGAACTTGTTGTACTTCCGCTGTAGTCGATCTAAATAATTCAATGTAACGTTGACCTATAGATTCCCGATGACGAGCTAATGCTTTTGGCGCATCAGTGTCATTAGCAAATAAAACAAACGCGTCTCCCGTCGCACGACCATCCGGTTTCTTTACAAACAATACACCTTCAGTGCCATCTAAAACTTGACAAGGATTTTCACCGTTGGTAAAGAAATCCAGCTATAAGCAAAATGGAAGAGAAGAGCTAATGGATTTAGTAGATCACGGATTGGAGGATGACAAATTCTTACCACTTGTTTAGCAGTACAGTCGTAAGGTAGACCACGCATACGTATGATCACTTGAGCTCCTTTCGAGAGGAAGGCTTGTGCTTCATTGGAGGCACCACCGGCCACTGATAGGAAATCTTCCCCCGTGGCTCGGTAAACTTCGATGTAACGATTGCCTATATGATGTTTGTGACGTTTCAAAGCCATATCGCGATGCTCTTGCGATATAAATCGTATCAAAGCTTCACCGTTTCGGCGACCCAATGGCGACAGACACAAAGCTACGCCACCTCTGTGAAAAAAAAAGAAAAATGAAATGAATTTTTTTTTTGCTTACATTCCGGGTATTATCAATAATTCGAAGCTTAAGAATTGAAAAAAAAATAAAAATAAAAATAAATAAATAAAACAAAATCATTCAATATTTTCGAAAAGCGAACAATAACACGTATATACATATATCAATCGATTAAGGCGACAGCAAAAACAAAAGAGATCTATTTCAGCAATGAATCTCAAGAAAAAGAAAAAAGTCGAAGGCATGCATGTGTATACGTTTCTGTTGATACGCTTGCAAAGGAAGACATAACACAATCTTATAAACCTTTTGATCTCTTATCAGTGCGTGAACGACCTATGAGTGCACCGTTTCTTAAATAAATGACAAATCGCGGCGCTCGACTCGCTAACCGAGATACATGTGCAAGCAGCATCCGTTAATTATCAAAAAGAAAAATTTTTAGAGTTTATCTTAACAGCAATAAAGCAACGAAATACTTACTTAGCTACGTTAAGTCCTCGAAAGAATTTGGCTATGTCCTGATCACTGCTCTGCCAGGGTAAACCACGAGCTCTCACAATGCAATTACCATCAATTTCGTCATCAATTGAGCTGAAAACATAAGATAAGAAATGATTTCATAGATACATTTCAACGAATTTTTATTAGTTAAAAATACATTAAACGCTAAACTCAGTTTTAATCGACCACATATTCGTGGCAAAAAAAAAAAAATTTTATTATGATTTTCTTATAATTTTCGTATTTTTTCTTTTAGCGAAAAAATCACGTTTGCAATAAAGAAAAAAATGTGCTGAGATTTGCTTAATTAGGTTTAAAATCAACAACAACACACTAACAACACTTACTGTAAACACTTTATACACGGGAAGACTTTGATATATAAACAAACAATATTTTTTAACTATATGTAAAAAGTTTTTTTATATTAATTTTGCTATTATTTTACAAGTAAAGAAATAAAGAAAAATAAACATTTTCTTAATTTTTTTATTTTTTTTTTATATCAATAGTTCCACTTGAACGTCTGCCGTTGTTTGTTTATATTTGCTTACATTTGCTTAATAAAATCTTTAAAAAATCTCACTAACTAAGGATTCAGTCTTTAATAACTTAGACTCGAAAACTTACTGTTTGACGTCGTGGGAAAGACTTGAAATCAAAGCCGAAGAGATAACAAAATCGATTTTCGAAAAGAATTTATGAGAAGAGAGAAGACACACTATAAACGAGAAAGAGCCCTCGTCGTTCTTAGTCTCTCTTCTGCTTCTCTCTTTATCTTTACGGATTGCTGGATCTCAACCCTCTCAAAAACAATATATATTTATATATATATATATAATTTTATTTTTATGGTGCTATAGAGTTTTTGTTTACAACGCTCCACTGATAATGATCAAGTGGCCGCTGTTTGTATTGGACTTTTTGTTTTTTTTTTTTTTTGTAAGGATAGACTTTATTGGATGTAGCACGGTGTGTGGAGTTTACTTCTTATGACGATCACCAAAGAATCGGCGCATGCTTATTACGTCCACCCGCTTGTAACAGCAGAAAGTACACATTTCTTTTTGTGTTGGTAAATATGAATATCGATTAAAAGAGTGTATAAATTGTCATCTCTTTAGTTCGCCTCGGCTTTGCGAATGCATTCGAGGACATCTACCATATTCTTAGGATCACCAAACTAGAAATCTGAATTGAGTCACATACGTATCTTTGATGTGACGTCAAAACGACTGGAATAATAAAAAAAAACATACAACCTGGAAAACATATGGACTCTAAAACTTAATACCATTGTTTATATAAAACTTCGAGGTAGGAACTATTCTGCATGACTAAACTAATAAAGAGGTAACATTTTGTTTGTTGTTTGACTTAATAAAGACCCACTCTTGGCGCTTTAAAATGATTATAATTTTCTTGTTTGCCGATAGCACTCCCGATACGCGTATGTTTGACGAACTCGTATACGACTCCTATAGGTTCGTTTGAAAAGAGTATTTTCGAACATTTTATAAAGATTTTCCAAAAAGTCGTGATTTGTCCTTTGCCACGCTTGTCTTTAACAATTTTCGCTTGCCTTAAGAGTTTAACAGGTACCCTGAATTCGTCTTTGTGGCTTATTTTCATGATTATGTTTTGGAATTTTTATCGATGTTTTTAAGTTACTCTGTTTGTCTGCCTTTGAATCTTTTAAAACGATATATAGGATTGATAATAAGTTGAATGTTACACATATACATAGTGAAATTTATCTAATCATGCTTTAGGATAGTACTTACCAAATACCAGGTTCTAATATCAAATTCACAGTTTCGTTTGCAATAAATTTATGACCTGAAAAGGAGAGAAAACCAATTGATTATTATCAGTTGACTCTTTTGAATAAACAAGCTTAATGTATGCCTAAGGAATATAATGCCACAAAATTTACTTAAAGAGTAAAACATTACTATGTCATTAGAAAAATTCCATTGTTTACCAGAGAGCTAAACTTTCTTGTCAATAAATACATTAGGTCCAGGCATAAGTTTTCGGATTATTTGTTTTCTAATAAATCAAAAGAAATGGTTTACTTAAAGTATCGTGCATCACCCGATACGAATTCTATTCCTGACAACACATAAACATATTGAATTAGAGAATAACGGATCTACACTGGAACCCAGGCCGTCAGCAAGTTTCGGATCTCCACACTGGAACAATAAATAATGAGTTGATGGGGTCGCGACTAGAAAGTCTGAGTAAGTTCTCAGTTGGCACATACTTCTCCTTCCCCACTTCTTTTTGACCGTCAACCAGTAATACGTACAGGAGCATCCCCTGTACTAAAAAAGCAAAAAAATGAAGACCACGACGAGGAACTGCACCTCCTTGGGGACGATATCCTTTATCTAAACAATTATGTAGCACTTTGAAATTGGCCAAGCGTAATCCATGAAAAACAATGGCACAACAACAAACGATAATCAGAAGTGGGTAGGTCTGGCAAATAGTAGGTCGCTTGCTATAGCAAATCTCGTTTCAGCATTTTGATGGTATTCTGAACGATAAAAGTGCGACATCCCTCTGTACTTCTTCGAGCAGTTGCCGTATATAACGGTGTCTGCTGACGTCAGCAGGTCATATTGTACGCGATTCTTCTTTGGTCTCATCACGCGCTCAGCATTGTCTTCTTTTCAAATCAATTTGGTCTAGGCATCGACGTTAGTCATTTGCCAGCTTAGAGCAGCGATTTTTCACGTTTTTGATTCTCGAAATCTAACCACCCCTCATCGCCTGTAACAGCGAAATCATTTCGACAATGGCCCTTCAGCTTTCTATCTACGCCCCAATCAACTTCTGCAATATACGTTTTCCCCCAAAGTTGTAAGCTTTTGAAAGCACCACAGTGTTTCATGTTTAATTCCTCTTGAGCTCGTCGTTGCGCATCATCTACGTCCAACCACACTTGCAGGTTAGTGTCCCTAACTGTTTTCGATGTTGCAGAGCGCTCCTTGTTCCCGGTGTATAAATCGTCATTTCGGAAGCGTTTAAATGTATCTTTCCAAGCAATTTCCGATGTTGAAAATATATGTCTGCGTGTACCCCTTTCAAAATGACGATGTGTATTAGCTGCGTTTTTTGTCAAATTAAAGCAGAAAAGCAAAGATTTTTGCAAATGCTGTTTCCTCGCCGCAAAACTTCGACAGTGATATGCTTTGCTATTCCGAGTAGTTATTGCTCCCATGTGTCTAAGGTAAAAAAAGAAAAAACAACTTCGGATATTTACGTCTCTCACACCTACCGTGCGCGCCCCCACTACATGCCCGCCTTCAAGCACGGTTTCGAACTTTTCACGCATTAGTTTTCTTCCCTAACAGGAAAATAATTTGGTATAAAATTCAAAGCTTAGCTGGGTTTGTCCTATGGACATATCTGATTAACATCCTCTCATAAAGCTATCTTATTAGAACAGTGTTATTAAATTCAATCTTTCTTCCGCTCTACCGACAAATGCGGTGCACTCGATTTGCTCTATCATCTTGTTATCACCAAAAAATCTCATTACGTACGCGTGGTAAGCATAGACACAATTTTAATCGATATAAAATTCTTAGTCGATATCCGCCGTCTAGGCTACAAGCCACCTGCTTGTATCGTAAAAAATCGAAAGCGGATGTTGGAATGTGCAGTCCGGGTCTCTTAAGAGATCGAATTTGAAATTAAATGCAATCCGCCCATAAATATGTTTACTATAAACAAAGCCTTCAAACCTTTCTTTAACAAAACCAAATTGGGTCCGCAACACTTTCACTCAGTGATGTGCAGTTATGGCTACAATGTTTGATACCATATTACGGTAAGCAAAAAGTAACAACCTTGTTGTCTTTCCACATCATCGCTGAAAAGACAATACCATGATGATATGATGAGAAATTCTTTCCTCATAGGTTCTCCTCGGACTCTTCATTTTCAGTAAATCCTTCTTGTGCGGAAATCTACAATTACGAATTGCGACACAATAGATCCCTTGTTTGATTGCTTTCTATACAAATAATCGTAATTCGAAACACCTGCCGAACGGAAATTTTATTCATATAGAGAGCCAACAATGAAAATTGTCATAGATAAAGAAATAAATTGTCCAAAGACTTGTGGTTAAAAAAAAAACAAACACTATGCGAAGTTTGCTATATAAAGAGGTTTTAGACATGCGATGAACATCTACATCACGATCCATTTGAAAGTTAAAGCTTAATTATCACTGTAGTTTATGATATGAGACAACGTTGGAAAGAAAATTTTCTATGGCCCGAAATTCCTATTGTAAGCAGTTAAGGAATAGGAATAGTGAGCATGATATTGACAACATGTATAATTATGGACGATAAAGCCTGTTTTTCAGACTTTCCTAAGGTTTGCCTGTCCATAAGACACAATTGATAATTAAATGCCATTTTCATGTATTTATTGCAATCCTTCTTGCTCCTTTACCTCGTCCCTGATTAAAGGGATTATAACAATAGAGTGTTTAGTCTATGTCTGCTCCAATACAATGAAAGTTCTACAAATAACGTGGAACAACCATGAACCATTTTACTGACATTTAACTGCCAAGGCACGTTTATAGAGAAGGAAATTGATTAGAAAAAGTTCTTAATGGAAAACTTTCGCCATAAGGGTTCCTACACTAGGCACACCTTGGACGAAAGAAAAGATTACAAATTTTGTAAGTATAAGTAAAGAGTAATGAGTTACCTGCTTTGAGCAAATGTTGTATAATCAAAATCATATCACGACATTCCTTCATATAAAATTCACTATCATCGCCGGCGGTAATGTTTAATTCTGTAAATTTAGGAGAAAAATTATATAAATGATTTTTTTTTTTTTGGTTTTTTTTTTAAATTACAAATACTTTACCTTTCACCATTTCCGCTATACTTTGCGGCAGTTGTGTTGCCGGTAATTGCAATATTTTTTTAATATCTTTAACGGGCACTAGAGCACGCGATAAATCGCCGGACTTGAAATGATTGAATTCTTTACGTAAATCAGAAAACTTATTATAATAAGCGGGTAACTCGATTTCCTTAACGCATGCCTCACGATGTAAACACTGACGTAAAGGCAATTGACCATCGGTTATTAATTTAAAATCGGTGTCACTCAACGACAGTATACGCAAATATTCATCAAACTGAAAATAATCAGAATAAATATGAAAATAATAATTGCATAAATAGCTTTATTTTTTCGCCTCAAATGGATTAAAAAAAAAAAAAAAGGAAAAAAATTATAAGAGCTGAGCATACATACATAAATTATGCTCTTAAAAATTAGGTTTAAGGTGTCAAGTGTCATTGTGTTAATAATTCAGTTTACTTAAGTTATGAATTTTTCTCGTAACTAATTATAAAAAACAAAAAAAAAATTGTTTATTAACGTTTGACGTGTGTTAAGGTTGTTTTTTTGTTGTTGCTTTGCTTGTTGTATTATTAATAACATGTCATTAGAAAAAAAAGTTTTAAAATTTAACTTAAATATGATAAAAAAAAAAAAAAACAATTATCAGTAAAACTTGAACTATTAGAGAAAAATGCCGTCAATAATTGCTTAAACATATAAGATTAGACAAAAGAAAAAAGTAAACTCTGTAGCCTATCTATCCAAAACTTTATTAAAAAATATCGCACTAGGTGTTTGCAAAAATTTTGATCAGTGACTTCTACCGGCAAAAATGATAAAGAAATGAAAAATACCAATGTACATAATGGTCACAGTCGATAGGTTTGATCTTCCAGTACATAAAATAACAGTTTTCCATTTAATATTATTGATTTATTCAGGGTATGCCGACGCTCATCATGGAACCTTTAAAATTGCATTTTCGATATTCATTTTTGTTTTTCTTTGATTTGAAGATATCTGCTCCCAAAAGCCATCAAACACGTTCAAAAGGTTATGGTGACACTGCTCCATTATACCCCAATTATGGGCTTTGGTTACAACGATTTAAGCAGTAGTGGCTTTTATGTGAAAGACAAGGAACAGTTTGGAGGACCGAAAAAGCTCAAGGATCATGAATTGAAAGATTTATTAGTCGAAAACTCAGCACAAACCCTTAAAGAACTTTCGAATAGGTTAGCAGTTGACAAATGAATTGTTACGTGGGAGAGGTCCAAAAGGAAGAAAACGGCTACCTCGCAACTTGACTGAAAATGCCATTTTAGTGACTTATTGCCTGAGTTGTCCAGGATACGCTGTTGCAATTCAAATACGAAGCTATGCCACAAACAGCGGACTCACCAGACATGGTGTTCCTGATTACCACTTGTTCAGATCGGTGCAGCATGGCTTGGCTGGCACACGGTCCCGCAAAGTCGAAGAAGTGCGAAAATGGGTCAGTGGATGCATCGCTGTCAAACCAATATAAGTTCTTTCATCACGATATCTCCAAAGATATTGTTGCAAATGATGGAAACTGTATCGACTAATACACATTATACCAATATTTCTTAGTAAATAAAATGAAAAAGTAGTTCAAGTGAAAAAGTTGATTAAAATTTTTGCAAACACCTAATATATGATTATTTATGTTGAACTGAGATCAATATTATTTTACTAATTCCTTGTAACACCTACCGCATAAATATTTATTTTGACTTTAAAATTATTGTGAATTTGACGTAAAATAGTTGATGAAAGTTCGTTTAGAAATTTTTCTTCACGTTTGTCAGAAAAGTGGGGATCAACAAGTAAGAACATGATAGTCGGGCAAAGCCAATCATAAAATACCCTCCACAACTATGTCCAGTACAGTTATTCATTCGTTTAGGCAGCAGTATGGCAAAAATTATACATTATTTTCATGCAAACGAATATCGCTTATGAAAACCCGCATACTGGACGATGTCCAAAACATCGTATGTCCTAATCCATATATGACAAACCTAATTTACTTCCTAAAGATCATATTATTTTTCAGCTTGCGTCATAAAACACTAGAGACTAGACTTTCTCTCCTCATAAGGGCTCAATTTTCATGACAGCTCCTAAAGACAATAGGATCTAAAAACTAAATCTATTTGGTCCAAGTTCTCTCCCGTCAATTTTTCTACTTAATTACTACGGTGGACCAATTTTCATCGTAAAATATAAAAAATTATACCTTTTTCTAAAGAGGTCATGACAAATCTCACATGCATTGTCTAAGAAATAGATCCACTTGATACAAATTTGGTCCATTTTATTTTTATGTTAAATTACAATCATCAACAAATTTTGATCATACAACATTAGAAATTAAGCCGTTTTAGCATATAAAGGTTCATATTTCCTGAGAATCCGTATATGCGGCTATATGCAAGAAATAGACTTACGTGGTCCAAATCCGGTAAAGGTGAGTTTTTTGTCAATTTACGATTATGAAACAATTTTCGCCATGAAATATTGAAGATTACAAATTTTTACCTTATAAAGATTCAGTTTTCTTAAGAACGGTTATATGAAAGAGGGGTTCAAAATATTACATCCGCCGAATCAAAGTTTTTCTACCAATTTAGAATGTCGAAGTACTGTTACCCAGCAAGCCTTGTCAAAAATCTTTGAAAATTGCAATCGAGCGTTGAAAAAACTCGTCGATCCGAACTATTTTCCATAGCATTTGTCCATTGGTCAAAGCACATCAGTGTCTCTATATATCTATTTTAAGAATTTGCGACCTACAAAAGAAATTTTGCGTGGACGGACATCAGACGGACAGGATCGGGTATAAAAAGTAGGACTATGCGTTTTTGGCTTTCAAAGTGTAAAATAGCTAAAAAAGATGCTGCCAGACCGAGTGCATATGCGAGCAATGTACGATTTTGATACAACAGATTACCTACCTAGTACTATGTGTCTTTTATAAATCATTCTATTCTTCATCATACAGCATTTTTGTGTTTTCGCATTGCCACCAACGTGTTCAGTATAGTACGATAAATCATCGTAGAAAAGTAGTTAGTTGTACATCGTATAGTAAATGTTAAAATTTGCTAGAAAAACAATAAATCTGCTCTGGTTATATTTCGCGCATTTTTAGACCCTGCACCACTTGTGATTATATTAAATTAGTGCGGACGAATGTAACACACTGAAGGGCTTGAAATAGACCCACCTTTTATTATACCCATCGATTCAAAATTATAACCTGAATTGATCTAAACCTGTCTGTTCTTCTGCCCGTCTGATGTCTGTCCGATTAACAGGTCGCAATTTTGCAGATATTGTAATGAAATTTGGTACACTGACGTGGTTTGACCCAAGGACAAACGCTATTGAAAATGGTTTGGGTCGTTACGCTTTTTCGGCCACTCCCCATATAACCTATCTTTAAAAGCCGTAATGTGGAAAAAGATTACAATATTCCAAACTTCTTGATAAAAGTGGCCAAGTGATAGTATGTTGGCATTCGAAATGAGTATGAAAACTTTGGACCGGCTGGGGCAATTTTTAGAACCCCTTTCCATGTAAAGGAAACTGAAGTTCGTACGACAAAAAGGCATAATTTTCAATGCTTCATGATGAAAATTATAGCATAATAATAATTTTACTCAAAAAAAATAACTGTACCAAGTTTGGACTCTGTCGGCCTATTTTTTGGATCCCTAATAAGGTTTTTCAAAAAAATTGAAAAAGAAAAGTTGCCAAAACTAAGCCTTCTTAAGGGGGTCTAGTGAAGTGAGTTTAAATTTAATGATAAATATTAATCGATTCAATTCAAAGCGTATGCAACTTCTTCAGTGCTTTGATTCAACATTTTCTCAATTTTTCGCCTTTTATGGACAGAAATGAGGATTGCTTTATTTTCACTTTCAGTAACCATCTTTGCAAGCCAGGTTACCGAGGATCTATGATATTACTATTGCTGCTCATGTTACAGTTTTAAAGAAATAAAAACATTACAGTCGGATAAGGCCGACTGTTACATACCCTAAATTACCTCGTTCATTAGTTTTGGTAATAATACACCAAAAGTTGCACATTATTTTTATGCAGTGACATAAAAATTTAATAAAAAAAGGCCGCAGATTGGAGAAGTCCCTATCCACAAATGGTATCCACAAAATAGTCCTACGTTGTCCACACTTGATGAGGTTGATTTCTATGTCAATTTACTATTACGAACTAGTTATCAACATGATATATTAAAAATTATACCTTTTCGCCATAGAGAGACTCAGTTTTTGAAGGAACGGTAATATGAAAGCAGGTTCAAAAATTTGCCACAGTCGAAAGAAATTTGTCATACCAATTTAGAATGTCTAAACACTAGTACAAACCAAGTTTTGTCGCGAAATTTTGCAAATTGCAATTCTTTTCAAAATAGGGTGGTATGTGGGGAGTGTTGGAAAAAGTGAAGCAATCCGAATCATTTTCGACAGCGCTCGTCCTTGGGCCAAAACACGCCACCGTACCAATTTTCATCATATCTTTAAAATTGCGACGGACAGACAAGGAGATAAGCTAAGATCCATTCAGAAAGTGATTCTGGAACGATCAGTATAATAATAATAATCGGATGGGTATATCTTAAGTCCTCCAGCGCATTATATACGTTCACACTAAGTTAACATATCCTGCATCACAAGGGGTGTAGAGTATAAAAGTGAGATGACTTTTGCATAGAAATGATAAACGGTAACCCAAGCTAAAGTTTTACGATGCATGTCTATGTGGACATTAAGCAGTGTTATAAAATTAACGCGAACGACACGTTCTTTACGATATTAGAATTCCGGTGATGAAAACTCTGATTTGTAGATTTTTACATAATACGAAAAACTCTATAACACATTTTGCTTCAGGCGTTTGTGTTTGAGTTTTATGGTTTTAATATATTTAAGATGGATTTCTTCGTAACGAAAAGATTAACGATAATGGATCTTTTTAAAAAAAAAAAATCTTTAGCTTTATCTCAAATAAAATTGTTTAGTTTTTTTATGATGTAATTTGTTAACGAAGACAGAGTTAATCACAGACATCAGATATCATGATACAAGAATGATTTATAACTAATTACTTTGATTTGACGTATTTGATCGTTTTATTAAAAAATTGCTTTATCGATTAGCTTTTATATATTTTGATTTATACAGTGAATTGACCAACACAACATTAAGTTAAATTTGGAAAAGTTAAAAGATATCATATGAAGTGAATATTGTATGTACATGTATACGTTTATGTAACACATCGCTCAATAAATCTGTGTTTGACCACACTCTTGACAGACCCATATAATTTCTGGATAATATGCCAGCTTTCAAACAAAATGTGTAAAAGTTTCATACCAATCCGCCCATCAGTTTACTGGTTAGAGTTGCCGTAGTGCAGCTACTATTGTAATTTTCAAAACAATGGAAAAATCTGAATTTTTGTTTGGCGCTTAAAAATTGCTGCTTGATGAGAGCAAATACCATTCATTCATAGTCAGTATTGGTTTGAATTTGACTATCGATACAAAAAATTTGTGGCTTGTTTGTTAATTCTAAACAAAGTCGTAGGGACACCGATGATGTTGAGCCCTCTGGTCGCCTAAAATCGGCAGTTACTCCAGCGAGCATAAAAGAAGTACACAAAATCGTTTTAGAAGACCGGAAACTGAGGTTACATGAGATAACTGATACCTTAAATATAATGAATGACAGTGAAACGTTGGCAACAACGTGTTGATAATTCAAAAAGCTTTTTGCGTCGCCTGTTTAGATGAAATAAAAAGAACTTTTTTCATGCGATATGTGCGAATAGATGAAACGTAGCTTCCTCATACCTCGCCACAGTCAAATTCGCCCAAAGCGACCATGAAGATGACAGCATCAAAACAAAGGTAACAGTATTCATTCCGTTGAAAGGCTAGCACTATTAAGAAATCATATAGATGCTGTCAACAGTGTTGCCATATTTGTGTCACAATGGAGTGATGTGATGCACTATGAATTACAAATAGCAGCAAAGCACGTTTGAAAGGCTTTTTGCCCATATTTGTTCTTTACCATTTAGGCATTGCTTGCGGGAAACTAATCTAAAAGGACAATCAATAATTTCGATGATTTATTTCTATTTCTATCTCTCTTTCTCTCTTACGAAATACATTTGCTTTCTATAGTTGATCGCACGAAATATAAAGACAATTACATATAGTTAAAAATTTTTGAATTTTCACGGCTCTTGAGTGCCCCCGTACCTTCTTTTCATTATTAAAATTTTTTTTAGCGTTTATGCATTTCAAAAGAACTACAAAGAACCAAGTCATCATGACTGAAGGAGACATTATTTATATTCACAACAGAACTTTGACCATGCCTTGCAGATTAATAAAATTCACTCAACACAGTGGAAATAAATAAAAATGTTTATGTCAAATAGTGGAACTATATCTCATGAAAACAATGAATGGAAACAATTTTGGATTATCTCTTGAACGACAACAAGTGTTCGAAGTCTGTCAAAAATCTGTAAGAGAGAGCATAAAATATGTGCCGGTAATCTTATAAACTGTACCTAACTATCTAATAATAATACACAAAAAAAGTGATGTTTGCAACGGGAGAATATGACTCTTGCGTAGAACAGGAAATCTTTCCAAGAATCCAATGTGTTTCACACATAAATGGTGTATTAATATATGGCACTGCTTCTTAGATGTGTAAGAGAGCAAAATTTAATGTGAAACAAAGATTTTAACCGCACAACACGCGCTCAGTTTTTCCCCCTATTCTACATCCTACATCATAGTTTTTTCAAGCCTGATAATCCTTGTCATTCGGAACTGTCTTGACAATCTTCTTTTCTGAAAAGGCGGGCAGTGGCTGGCTGCAAGTTGCAAAATTCTAAAAGGAAGAAGTTTTCGAAAGTGATTTTAAAAGACACGCACACGTCCACTACATAGATAATCATTAATATACGCTTCATCCAATTCTTGCTAATCTTATCACGAAAAAAGTTTAAATCAATTATTGTTATCATTTTTTTAATGTTAATTATTAATTATATTTTATTTATGTAAAGTTTATATATGCTTACATAAAGTTATTATGCATTTTGTTGCTGCAGCTGTTTAGAGTATAATCGAAACGATATTTCATAGCAAATTTTCCTACATAAGTTGCAGCATCGAGTATATTGAATTTTTTACAGATGTATGTAACGGACTGAAAGACATTTCTTGTTCTATCATTAGATTCGGACTAATATTTTGTGAATCTGATGTATATTCATATGTTCATATGTTGAGTATATTAAATTTGTAAGGATGCGTGTAATGGACTGAAGGACTTAATCTACAGATATTTTTTGTTCTATCATTAGATTCAGAATGACTTTTTCTGAATCACGTACGTTTACATATCTAAATGTTACAAATATTGAAAGGTTTTGAAGAAACTTCGAAATGGTATTGAAAAAGACTTCGTTTCCAATATGTCCTTAAATGGAAAAATTTGCAATTTTCAAAATTTCAATATTTCAGCATTTCAAATTAATGTGAAAAATATAGATCGGGTGGGTCAATTTTTTGAATCCCTCCTATATAACAGCCCGTACGAAGAGTGAGTGAAGAGAGTTTATATAGTCATGAGTAAAAAGCTATTATTCTTCATGCTATGTAATGAAAATTAGTCCATAGCATCTATTTTACATAAATATTGACGGTATCAATGCGTAGGTCAGTTATATGGACTCTATCCCATAAAAATTTCTCATGAAAAGCATTACTATTATTATTACCATAACTTAGTTAAACGAGTAAAGTAACTTTTACGGTTAAAAGTAGGACGATTAATTAAGACCTTAGGCTCTTTTTTAAACGCCATGCTAAGTTCATATAAAGATTAGTTTAATTGCTTTAATAGAGTTACGATATTTTATTGATATTGCATTCTCTCATGAAAAGCAAGCCTTTTCGCAGGAAAAGCGTCTTAGGTTTTAGGATTTTTTAAGAATAATAAGACCTTAGGCAGGAAAATTAATTAGACGCAATACATTCGCACTATTTTAGTCGTGGATTGTTCCCCCTCATGCTTTCGCACGGAAACTTATAAATTATAAAATAAGTGGTTAGGGGTGGATGGTGGATAAGGTGGTTGGTGTTCGACCATTATGTGCTTTCTTGTTTAATTTTAATAATTTTTCTTTTCTACAATTACAATAAATATTAAGATATGAAATAACGTGACTAGTTTAAATGGTTATAAACGTTTTGTATTCGCTCATTATTAATATCTGATCTAAATATAATATCTATACCAAATCTGTATTCTATGTGTTAATCTTTCTAGGCAAAGTTAAGCAGAGAGACTTAAGAATTATTTATCTTTTTTTTTTTTATATATAATATCTTTTAATCGTTAAATGCATACTGTTGCCAGTTGTCTACATTTCAATTCCACTTAATTTTACAATTAATTTAATGAGAACAATTTAAATAAGACAACTTAAAAGTAAAATAAAACTGACAACAATATGCATCTAACGGTTCAAAATTAGAAATACTAAGGTAAGCTTTACGCGAGCGATGCAGGTCTGCGTCGCTATGCATTTAAGGGTTAGTGGAATGAATTTTGCAAATTTGGAATGTATCTACCTCGTCAATGGCTTCGCGTAACGGCTTCCCGGCAGCTTGAGCTATAACTATTGGAAGTTCATTATAATCGGAATTTGGTCCATTTGTGATACTATTATTATTGCTGATAATGGTGTTGTTATTAATAATTGGCGTTAGTGCTGTACTTGAAACATTATTAGCATTTGTATTTGTGATAATTGTTGCTGTTGGAGCATTTGAACAATTATTGGTGATGTTTTCGTTGTCCCCAATGGCCGTGCAGCCATTAACACTTTTGTTAACATTGTTGATAGCATCCGTGTAAGTGATGGCCAATGATGATTTCGGTTGTGATGATGTTGTTGTTGATGATGATGGTGGTGGTGGCGGTGATATTGCCGAATTCGATGTCTCCGACGATACAGAATTGGTCCGATCTTTGAATAAGCACCCATCAGGACGTACCAAAATTTGTTTGGTACCAATAATCTGAGAAAAAAAAATAAAGAAAAGCGAAACATAAGTGACACGCATTCAAATCAAGAATGTAAGATATTTATCATTAAAAAAAAAAAAAAAAACAATATAAAAATGAAACGATCTAAGTAAAACTATTCCATGCAAATTTTCTTAAATAAAAGTCACAAAAAATGTATAAATATTTCAAAATTCAGGTGTTCGCCGTATTGTAATTTTCATTTCCGTTGGTCATTCTCTTTGCTTTACTTATTGAATATTTCAATTTCATACATATGTAAATGTCACAACAAAAGAAATCGTGGACGTTATGTGCGCTTCTTTCCTCTTTTGGTTTTTCTTACATCTACCCCTTGCACGATTAGCAGATTAAGCTCCATCATGGCGTTTGTAACACCTAAAAGTCAAAGGCATCAAATAGCAATCGAGTATTGTTAGGTCGTTTAAAAAATATAAAACCTTCTCATGTATTTATTTTAATGTTTCTGCTTCTAGCCATGTTCACTAATCAGTTGTCTCTACTCCTGTTACTTGGTCACATCTTACAAATCGCTGCTGTTATTAAAGCAGGGCAAAGTTTCTACAAAGTAGATCGGGTTTTAAATATGGTGCCGATTAGTCGCGAAATAGAAAAGAAGACTAGTGCTTTCAATCACCCTCTGAAAGTTAACACAAAACTTCCATGGGAGCAATCGTAATTTCTACACAAACTCTACGAGTCATCTAAATGGACAATGGAAACGTTACGGTAGATATGTACTGTGAATAAAACTTTTTTACTTTTCTTATAACACAAGACACTAAAGATGAATTCATTCCACTCTTTCAAAAACATTCTCAAATAGCTATCGGAATGCTTTCGAACTAAATATATTCTTGGCCAACCAGACAAGATTCTTCGCCGATTTAATCCCGTACTTCTGTTGAAATTATCCCACACTTCAATAATGAGGCGAAAGTCTAAGATATTAACCTAAGATATTCTTGGTAAATTATTTATTAAAAATTGTCAAGAAAAGCATAAAGAGGTTGAAAGACTAAAGTAACGTAAATGTAATGTTTCAACAATTCACGACCTACAGGGGATTTCTAGCCGAGATTAGTCTCCAAACTCAGAGAAGTTAGGAGTATCAAGATGAGCAGAATTGACTTCCCAGATCAAAAATGATGGCTTGTAGCGTTATGGTTAGTCGCGTTAAGTATAAAAAAACACAGTTGGGTTTCTCAAAAGAACTTTTTATGTATCTTCACACTTACAGCTTTATTTGGCAAAATCCGAACATTAATGAATCTCTTCATATTTTGTCGAAAAATTCCTCTGTTTCTAGTGAACACCGGTTGGTATGTTCTAAAGCTATATAACTTTTTATTCCGGATAGAATTTTTTCTTTCCATTAAAAATTTTTCAGAAAATTCTTACAATTGCCAAGATCAAAGTTGTCAATCACAGCCTAAGTCGCATAGGGAAGTTACGTTTTTTTTTTTAGTTTTATTGTTAATGTATTACAAGCATATTTAATATCGATTTGAAATGTGGTTCAGGTACCTAGCAGGATAGCGTACATTTTCTTCGAGTCAATGGCCTCGATCGGTCAGGGGCTAATAAGGAAACATACATCAAAGTTATTAAGATGTTGCGCTCTTGAAATTCGTCTCAAGGCGAATATAATTTTTTTTTTTTTTTTTTGTATAAGTAAGCCTGGGCGACTTTTGCTGGTCTTCCGTACTGGTACTCGTTTCAATTGTATTTAATTTTTTTTGAACGTCAAATGTACTTCAAACACATCGCTATGGAATAACACATTTATATATATATATATATATAGCTTTGTTGTAGTGTTTCTACAGGTCTTAACCTTTAAGCGAAATAACAATCAGGAGAAAAAGCACTTTTCATATGAAAATCAATCAACTTATAAATATTTCATTACTTTGCTGAGTATACACAGGTCTATGAGAAGCGTGTGATGGTAATGTTCTAATATTTTTATTGTCATGACTTTCGCAACGCATATAGATCAGCTATGGAAAGTATTTCGTTAAAAGAATAAAATTTCAAAGTACGCTATTGTTCTTCCAGTCTTATATCCGACGATCTATGACTGGGCACGAATGAAAAAATTAGTCAAAATTACCATCAATTTACTAACAGAATAGATCTTACAAAACCTTTGATGGATGATTTGTGATATTTTTCTAATCTGATAAACTATCAGATTTGTCTCTATGAAATCTCCATAAATAAAACTCAATGAAGAGTAATGAACATACATAAAAGAAAATCGGTTAAGAAATAGTTTAGGTATTATTTAGCGGCACACTATTAAAACTTAGAAATGCCTAAACGTATTCATCAAAATAATCTCATGTGCATATATATATATATATAATCAATAGTGATTCTGGATTAATTTTATTGCTTAAATAGCGCCAATCATAGGTTCGATTTAAACCGATTTATAAAGACGGGCACCGGTGATGTTCTACTCAATTAGCATTTTCTATATTGTTTCTAAGGTAAACTAAATAACGAGTAATAGACAAAAGTTTCTATTCGACAGTGTTTTAAATTTGAATTTGTTTTCAACATATTTCAAAAAAAATTTTTTTTATGGATATTTGTTGAACTAATACACCAAACCGAATTATCAAGTAACTTGCTGACTTCATAATGAAGCGAAACTTATGGAAAAATTCTAAAATAATTGGGATTTAACAAAACGATGAACACAATGTACATAATTTATTCAAAGTAATGAATCCAAAGATAATAATTTTTTTACTTAGTACTTAGAATATTCACACTTGGAAGAGAAATGAAGATAAACTATTTTCGAAGTGTCTCTCATTTTATTTATTTGATATTGTCATGAAGTTTAATAGTGGAAGCGCAGTTTACCCTAAGCTGCTCGGCTTCAGTTCGCCAAGTCTTCCCGTCTCACAGGTTGCCAATATAGCTCGGCATAAGACGTTTCCTAATCTTTATGTTTTAGGCGGATTGAAAGCCTTTAGCTTACGAGCGAGTGAAACGCTAAGTTGAACTGCTTCGATACAATTGAATTTCTTTATTTTATTCGGCACTATTTATATTTATTTTCTACACTAAATTATGCTTATCTAACAAAAATTATGATCGTTTAATTGCGGCATCGTATTGCATTACGAAATGCAATACTCGCCCTGCTGAAGTGTGACATAAATTTTATTTTTATTTTACCAAACGAATTATGCTGAAGTCGCATAATTCAGTCACACTTCAAAGTGGATGCATACGACGGTATGCGATCACACTACAATATATTCATAGAGTATTGCTGTAAGTATAATGTTTCGATGAATAGTTGGAGCGAAATTGAATTGTAACAATAATTTGCAATTCGTTTAAACCGCTTCGGTGTCAGTGCAATCGGCCAATTAATGCTTCAAGCACTTCCGTATATCCGATCGTGCTGATACACTACAGTATATAAGGCGTAATAAAAAACACAATCAATTTTTCTGTATATTCAAAAGCCAACCAATTTCGCCTCCCCTCTCCCCTTCACAAAATATCAGATTATCTTCTTATTACCAAGGCAGTTACAAAGGCAAATACAAGAGCTTGAAGAGTAAAATGATTAAAATTGGTTCGGCCGACGATGTAATACAATTTCATAAGCGCTTACCCGATGGCCTATAGTCTTAATATAGCCCAAACTCCAAGCTCTTATAGAAATTCCTGTAAGAATGTCTCTGGTATACAATATAATACCTGCCTTTGGGACGATCTATATGGAGAGATCGTTCTCGTTCACTTTCAGGTCAATCATTCCGAAATGCTCCCTTGTCGTCATCGCCTTGTGTGCATGTATAGGAGACATTTCCTGAATAACTAGGTGACAAAAAAAGTAAAACATACTTTTCCCATTAGACCATTGAAAGCAGAAGAACCCCCCAAAAATGCTCTTAGGCCCTACATCCCGTGGAATAAATGCTAATATAAAAACTTTGCAGAAGTAATCAAACCTTTACTCCGATGTAAGTCAGGAAAAGCGTTTATTGAGAAAGTAGTTGGATGGTATCCAAGATGGGTGAATAATTCAAAAGCAACTATATACATATCTTAGCATTAATCTGGTTAGATAACAGAAGTAATGATGAACAGCTCCTATGAGAGGCTTAGTTGGAAACGGAATGAATATAATTAGTTGGGCATAAACCTTCGGGGAAACTTAAGACGATGGTTCGGTTAAACCGAAGTGTGAGTGCTAAATGCTTCGGTACAGTCCTTTGAGATGCATTCGTGGTGGCCATAATTATCCCGCAACGCGGGTTTAGACTATGCCCAAACTTTTATATGTAAATCTTTATTATTGGATTAGGCCCTCTCTCTTGCAGGATTGTCTTCCAAACCAGAAACCATTTAAAAATACCCAATGGTTCTACGGAGCTATCCCGATTAAGTCGCCAAAGCAGGTCCAGACGATAAACAACTGAGACTCTGTAACATCGTTACATATCGTTCTCCTCTTTTTTTTTCTTTTCTTGACTCACGTAAGGAGTTCGAGCCTCCGCAAAACTTTATAACTATTACTCTAATATATTAGAAAAATCTTCTAAGATGGTAAAAAAATATATAGAAATATGAAAATATGGCTTAACGCGAGTGGCAGGTGCCGAAATCACATCTGTCTTAGGTTAGATAAGAAACATTCTCCGGTTAGAAAGCGCTTGAAAGTAATTATGTTCAAAATTCTGCAAAGCAAATGTTAATACTATTAAAATACAAGGTTTCTTTTACGTTGACTTGATCGTTTCGTTAACTTAACAACGAATACACTAAGTAAATACCAATATTCGAAATTAGTATTTTGGGCTTGGAATTTTGCAGAAGCTGCAGGAAATGATAATTTTAATAGTGTTAGCTTCAAAACGGTGTCTGCAGAAAAGTTAGAAGCCAAGTACTCAAAGTCATTATTAAAGCTAAAAGTTGGGTAGGATTGTTAGCACAATACATCGTCTCTATAAGTTGC